AGCAAAGGGTCTGAATACTTATGACCATGTGATATTTCAGTTTTTCTTTTTTAATAAATTTGCAAAAATTTCTACATTTCCGTTTTTTTCTGTCAAGATGGGGTGCTGAGTGTACATTAATGAGAAATAAAATGAACTTTTTTGATTTTAGCAAATGGCTGCAATGAAACGGAGTGAAAAATGTAAAGGGGTCTGAATACTTTCCGTACCCACTGTACATGCGGAACCCAGGGGTGGCCCCCTACTCCCAGTCCTTGTTAGGCGTCATTGTCAGGCAGCCCCCCTCCAGCCTACCTGCATAATGATATTCCTCATTCTGATTTATATTTTTTCCTTCTCTCTCCCTTTTCCCTCTCTTCCACCTTCTTCCCTCCATCTCCAGACTCATCCCGCCGCCAGCAAACTGCCCCTGAAGGACAGCTTCACATTCGATGACTACAGGTCAGTGTGTGCGTGTGTGTCTGTTTTTAGATTGCAATATCACCTATAACATGTTTATGTGTGTCCTTCCTCTAAGAATATGTTCCTAAGAATAGTTCTGCTTTATCATAACTTAGGTAGGATATTAGGGTTAAACGGTCATCATTCCTTTTGGTAATAATATTATTGTACTCAATGACAAAAACTAAAAGTCAGATGATCAAGCAGTTTATCTAAATACTGCTTGAAACCAACAGCTTAGTAGAACTTATTCTTAAAAGAAACCGAAAGCAAACAGATGTTCTAAACCTCCTTCAGCATTTAGATTCTGGCTTATTGGTTCAACGTGGTTTGTAGCATTCCCTCAATACTTTTCCTTCGTCTTGCAAAGATGGCGTACGTTTTCCTTCTGAGATTATAAAATGCAAAATGAGTTTATATACTTGTCTTCATTGGGGATGAATTCTAAATGACTGTAGTGTGTGCATGCAGTGCACTGGCAGGTGTAATATGCATTTGCAGCATCATTTTCACCTTTTGTGTTCCCTAAAATGATCATTTATGTACGATGATCAAAGTTTAGATTGAATTCAGAATTGTGGTTTAGATAATCTGCCGAAACTGTTGGCTTGTTAACAGCTTGTCAGCAGAATGCAATGTTACCATAACTGATGGAGATAATGGCCAAAAATATCACCCCAGCAGTAATAGAAATTCTCCATTAAGCTAAATTCCTGCATTGGAAAAGAGGAGTGAAAGTGGGCTGGTGATGAATTATTTCTTAAATCTCTTCCCTCCACTATCTTCTCTCCATCTTCTTTTCCTCCTTTTCTGCTCTGATCGCTCTCCACTCTACTTCTCATCTCTCCTCCCCCCCCCCCCCCCCCCCCCCCCCCCCCCCCCCCTCCCCCCCCC